CAGCGCCTCAGGGGCCGCGCCGAGCGCCCGGCCCGCCCGCCTCGCTCTCCCCTCCCATCCCATCCCATCCCCTCCCCTCCGCCCCGGTTTTATTGCATTTGGTGATTTTTATGTTTTGAGGAGGAGGAGGAGGAGGGAGTGCGGAGTCCCGGCTAAAGATGAGGCAGGATGTCTGAGAGAATGTCCAGCTTTCTGTACATCGGGGACATCGTGTCCCTGTACGCCGAGGGCTCCGTCAACGGGTTCATCAGCACGTTGGGGTGAGTGCGGGGCCCCGGGGAGCGGGGGGCCGGGCCGTGCTCGCCGCGGGAACCGGCCCCGCCGCGCAGGAAGCGGCCGGGAAGGAGGAAGTGATGAGCGGGGAGGAATGAAAGAAGTTGGGGCGCAGGCCCGGGCCGGCGGGGCCCGCGCGGCACCGACACCGGTACCGGTACCGGCGGGATGGGCCCTGCTCCCCGCCCGGCTCGGGCCGGGGTCGGTACCCGGCGTGGCTGCCGGGGTGACCCTCTGCTGTGCCCTCGCGTGTTCGCCGTGTTTTCGGTTCTTCTCGGAGTGGGGAGGCTTCGTTTGGTTGCACGTCGGGGTTTTTTTTTAGACGTGACTGACTGAAACTTCGCTTTCTTGCTGGCCAGCTCGTTAAACGTGTCCCTTTTGGTTTGTGTTTGCCTGGAGCCTTTCCTGCGGTTGTTCGCCGTCAGATACTTACAATCGGACACTTTGCAATCAGGCATTTAATTTATCGGAGGTGCTTCTTCCCTGAGCTCTTTCTCTTTGCAGGGTGAAGAGATGCAGCTCCGCTGCGGCTGCTCCCCTGAGCTGCTGCTGGTTGGTTGCGGTTTTCACTGGCCTTGGCCGCTCCTAAGTCACGTTTTTGGAACGCGGGATAGAAAGCCGCAGCGAACGGTGATAGGAATACATTGAGATACTTCTTTAAGCCAGCACGTTGCTTGGTTGTAGTGACATGTCCTGAGGGGGCAGTGGCTCCCTCTGATGTTCCTGGGGGAGCTGCAGTGGTGTCAGTGACTCTGTGGCATGGCCAAAGTAAGCACGGCTGAAACCTCTGTCAATAGAAACATCTCCTGCACTGCACGAGTCGTAGCGATCCGGTTGACAAGGCAGCTCAGACTGTAGTTAGCATGAGTGTCATTTGCTGCTTAAACGTTAGCAGTACCTTCAGGACAGCAGTTAAACTCGCTAAGGCTGATCTGCTGCTAATGAATGTCTGAATGTCTTCCTGGGTGTCACCCTGTGTCCCGAGATCTCTTCCATCGGGAACCGTAGGGTGAAGTATGGGAAGCATTAAAGTGCAAACAATGCATGTCTGAGTTACCTGGTGTGGTACTGCTACTGTAAAAGAGTTCAAGGTCATTTATATTTTTTGATGTTATTCTTCCTATCCTTGCTGTTCACTGATTTCACCCGTTGATAAGTGTTTTTCCATGGTTTGTTCCTCTATTTGTTAATTTTATGACTTCTTTATCCGTAACACTGTTTTGTCTCACATCTCTTTTTGTTTTGCTGACTCTTGTAATTTTAAATCCTCTCTGAAAACGCTTGCTTTCTGCAACTGTTCATCACTGGCTATTGTTTCTTATCCTTGTAGCCCCAGCATTTCTTTTTTTATTGGCATAATTTGTTGTCGAGTTGCTTGGTTTTGTTGTTCTGTCTCATTGCTGTGTTCTGTTGTCTGAGGGGAGCTACATTTGCCATATTTTTTATTTTTGTTATGTTGAGAAGTGTTCCTAGTTTCTGAGCATACCTGCTTGTCTACCATAGATAGACTTCTCTGCTGTGGCTGGTGCTCGTACAGCTGCGTGTCACCTGAGTGCCTGTTGGCATTCTTGTGTGTCCCTTCATCCCTTGGGGTTAGGGCAGGACATTTCCCCCCCGTTTTATAGACGGGAAGCCAGGATCAAAGCTTGCCTAAGGCACGTGAGAGCTCTTTTACCAGAAGAAGTAATTGAACTCAGGCCAACATCCTAACCAGCAGACTATCCAGGCTCTTTTTTAGCCTGCTAACCCTGCCCAACAGAACTACATGGGACAAGACAGGGCTCCTGGGTGCATCTGTCCTTCAGCCAGCAGGCCAGGGGCTCAAAAATGCTGATGGAGCTCTGTTAGCTTTTTAGTACAACTTTTTTTTGTGCCCTGCCCTCTGGCTTGGTAAAGGTGGCCACAGAGCTGCAGTCCAGGAGCTGAAGGCCTTGAAAGAAATTGTGAAGGCACCAATGGAAAACTCCTGTGTTGACTAAGTGGGTATGCTGACCCCTCTGCTGGTGGTACAAGAGCTTGGACTGAAATGCAAAGTTACAATGCCAGTTCATGCTGTCTGTGCTAGCTATTGGAATTACTGCTTTTGGACTGGTAGCAACACAAGAGGCAGAAAAATCAACTGTACATTTCAGGGAAGCAGTTTTCCCAGCTGCTTATGGGGTGTGCAACCACTGCTAAACTTCTGCATCTCCTACGTTCCTGTGAGTCCTCTGATCACAAACATCTGAAAAGAGGTGGCCTTGTCTTCCAGAGGTGTCCCTTATTGGTGAGGACAGAGCAGGGCAGGAGGGGAATGATTGCTTGATCGCTTCATTTACCTGATGCTGGTTCCTGTTTTATTGCTCTTGCCTGTATTGCTCAGGGTGCTGCTTTGAAAGGTGTCAGGCAAATTTGTCACTTAAGCTCTTGGGTCCATCGGGTGATCTCATGCAGTTGCAAGAACTTGAAATCCAGCTCAGGTCTAGTTACTCTGCAGTAGGGAGAGAGTCCTGTTTATTTTAAGCTGTCAAAGGCTAATTGTTTCTTAAACAAAGTGTGAGTGAGGCGATTCTATAAATAAGATAGAAAAGCGCACGGCGCCTCTCCAAGCAGGGGAGGTCTGTCACGTCAATGGACCTTACTCCCTGAAGAGTTGAACCAGCTCAACAGATTATGTTTTAAAGAGATTTCTAAGCAAAGGCTCTTTCATGGCTTTTAGAGTAGTTTTTGCTCACTTGCTAGTGCAGAAATTTGTTCAGTTTCCCCAGGAAACAAAAAAGCAAGAGAAAGATGCAGCTGAGCTATTCAGATCAAGTGTAGGGTCAGGTTAATGTCTTACTATAACCTGAGTATGGAAATCTTCCTCTTGTGCATTTTAGGAGGTCGTAGCCTCCTTGTTTAGGAGATGAGGGATCCATGCCTCTTGCCCTGTGTGCAGGTGAGAGTGCTGAGTGGTGCTAGGTGAAGGCTGGAGTGCTTTTCCACACCTCCCTCTACAAAAAGGGTTGGAGAATCACCAGAACAATGAGATTCTGTAAATGTGACCCAGAAGGTTGGGGCACTTTTTTTACCTGCAAGAAACTGGTTCTCCTGTCCTTGTCTCTGAACCGTTTTGTTACTATCAGTAGCTGCTGGATGTGAGCGTGAGGGCTCTGCTTTCAGATTTGATCCCTCTTAGTCAGAATAGGAAACTGAACCTTTCTTCCGCATCTGGGGTTAGTGCTGTCGCCTGGGATGGGGGCAGGGAAGTTAGGTGGGGTTGCTCCAAATTCTTCCTCTTCTATCTGTGTGTTGAAAGAGAGCAGTTTTGTTCAGATTTTGAAAGAGGTATAAGCACCTGTCTCCAGGGGGATGGTTCAGACTGTGCATCCCAAGTAGAGAGGGGCACCTCTGGGTAATGGTACAGGAGAGGGTTTTAGGGCTCAGCATTCTCTGTTGGCTTCTGCAGGTCTTTGGCAATTCCATGATCTTCTGTTCTGCTTGAACGTGGGCTTATTCTGGGTTTGGATGCTGCTCTGAGGTGCTGATGATTTGCAAGCTGGCTTTTTCAATCTCAAGACTCTCTGAGCTTTCCCTCTCCCCCCTCCCACCCCCCATTGCCCTCTTCCTTTTAAAAAGGATAATGCTTTTGAATGTATAAACTTACAGTTTATAACAGAAGAGGAAGTGTTTGGGGAAAGGACTTTTTACCATTTCAAGATATGTTTGGTACTGGATTATTGAATTGTGCTCATATAGTTTGGTTTTTTTTCCCCTTTTTTGAGCTTTTATTGTGTTTTAGCTTCACACAGTTGCAGGCTTTATGTCCCACAGGACACATATTTGGCAGAGCTAGGCAGTGCATCCAGGTATCTTAAGTTGTCCCAAGCCACTGTCTGAACCTTGAGGCCACCTTCCCCAGTATTTTAGCTGTAAATGCTGGCAATGGTGTGTGCTAGGATTAGAACTGCTATTAATCACCTATCAGTACAATGAGGGGAAAAAAAAAATCTTGATTGGAGAGGTGGAAAAAATATAATTAACAATGGCCAGCATCAGCTGTTGGAAAGTTTGACGGTGGGCCTGTTAGTCACCATCAGTAGCTGCATTCCTGTCTCACCTCCATAAATGTGCCTCTGTGCTATAGCAGCAAGAAACCTCATGGAACATAATTAATGGAGCATGCAGCAGGAGCTGCCTGCTAGGTAATACGTAGTCATGGATGGCAAGGGGTGCCGAGACTTATTTCTAATTAGCAACAAAAAGTGCACTGCTGAGTGTTTGGACACGTTATCTTGAGTTTAGTGTTGATTTTCTTGAATAACTTTTAATTTGTGGAAGCATTTGCTAAACTTTCCGTACTTGAGATGAACATCAGAGTTCTATTCAGGCTCCTTTGCTGAGCTTCTGTGTGTTGGTTGTCTTACTGATTTTGGACTCCACAAAGATTGAATCAGTTGTGCTTTGTGAGGAGACAAGATTTAAGTAGAAGGTGCTTATGGAACAGCATAAATCAAAATATTCCAAATACAGTGAAGGCTGAAATATGTCATCTTGGTGGTCTCGGGAACGGTGCTAAGAAGGAAGACCATGACTGATGATGCTTACAACACACCAATGTAGTATTTTTAGCAGTGCATATTTTTTTTGCCCTTCTCTCTTACTGTCTGAAGAGGAACAGAGTATACATCCTTTAATTAATAGCAGGTTTTTCTTTCTTGTGCCAGCTGACAAAACATAATTAGGAAAGAATAAAAGGCTTGAAGAAAGTGAGAGTGGCATATCTAGAATTACTCACAATTTAATTCTGATACCTATAGAATATAAGAATACCCAGAAGAAAGAAGGGAAGATGAATGTCAGCTTTCCTCTGGGTGAAAGTACTCAATGTGTTTTATTACCTAGGAACTTTATCCTCCTGACTGACATCACCAGTGAGATTTGACAGCTTTGATTATGTGTTTCCTAATTAGCTTTTTAATACTGTGCAGGATTAGGTCTGAATTCTGCACCTACTTTGAATGTATGC